TTTAGTCTCGTTTGGTTATTAAAATAGAATGAATGAATTAAAAAAATCAAGATAAAAATAAATTAAATCATCTTTCCTCTTGTGATAAGTATGATAAAATTTATTAATGTATGCTACAAATATGAGAATTATCATGCGTTTCAAAAATTTCATAAATCATGATTTTTAACTTCATAAATTAAATTATCCCTCCTCAATAAATTTGTTTATCTATTCCCTTTGATCATCTTATTTTTATTTTTTTTAATTCATTTCATTCCATTTATTTTTAGCAAGGAAAGGAGACCATTATCTTTTAATTTGGTAATCAGTTAATGAAGTTGTTGATGAGGATTAAAAAAAAAACAACTAAAGTGAGAAAATTAGTTAATGATAACCTTCTGGGGCCAAGGAGGGTGCTGTCGTATATTGGGTCACGGGCAGGAAGCAGAATTATTTGAGTGTGACCAACACAAGCATGCACAGGCGCAGTGTTCAGGTGGTAGTGTTACAAGATGGGATGGTGCGATTGTAATAGGAAGGAAAAGAGGGAGGGGAGTGGGAGTGACTTGATTGGGATTAGTAGTGTGCACTTAACAAGGTATGGAAACCAAAACAAATTAAAGTATAAGAGGGGAGGGTAAGTATGAAGGGGATGGATCCCATAATGAAGTTGACTATGGTGGCGTATTCGCGCAAGGGCGATCCCTCTGGAACCATGCATGTGTGAGCCATATCATTAAATTTGAAATGTACGAGGCCAGAGCTATGACAACCCAACAATTATGAGCGCGCATATAATAATGATGATGATGATGATGATGATGATGATATGAAAAGAGAATTGAGGGGAAAGGGATGATGGGGGTGGTGGGGAATATGAGAATAGATGAGAGTCGGTGTAGTACAGTGTATGGGGTGAATTGAAGAGAGGCAACTCCCCGATTGAAGTTGATACCTACTCCGAATGGTACTCTACTGATAACGTAATTAATATTCATGCCATGGATGGAAGGTGCGGGGCAATTAGGTAAAATGTGAGGAGAGAATGCACGCGGGAGAGTGAGCGTGACTATTGATGAAGGTGGGAGAGGTGATGAGCAGGAGATGGCGAGTGCGGGAGTCGTGATGAGGTCAACACGCCACCCTTCCACAATCCCCTTGCGTTGCCTGACACACTTCTTTTCACCCTACTTTATCGTCTAATTAATTAATTTCTTAAGTGTTGTGTTTTCATAATTAATTACTATTTATTATCTTGTAACGCACTCGCACGCATCCATCCCCTATTCCCATTTCATATCCGCCTCGTAACCCTATCCCTGTTATCTTTTAAGTATTAATTAATTATATGCCCCAACTTATCATCGCAATTCCATCAATTAAACTAATCCCCTTTTAAATATATTGTTTCAATAATAGAAATTATATTTTATAAGTTATGATTTCTTATTTAACTCTTGTAATTTATAGAAAAAAAGTTATGATTTGATCTTATTATTTGCAGTAAGAGTAAAATAATTAAAAAAAAAGTTAGTGATAAAGAGGTCTCAAGGATTTCATTGATATTATAATATTTTGAGAAATTAAATTATCATTTATATAATTTAAAAAATTTTTATTACTCCCTCCATTTAAAAATATAAAGTATTTTTTGAAAAGTTGAGTATTTAAAAATATAAGACATTTTTAATATTTTAAAGTATAATTATTGTCTTTTTTTTAAATATCCTTATTGATAATAATTTTATATATATTGTAGGGTGTTTAATGGGGATAAACATAAAAAAATAGAGTTAATTTAAAAATAAATAATTATTTTATTGAGAGATAAAATTTAATTAAAAATATTTTATATTTTTTAAGAGAGGAGTATCATTTTTCCAAAATTCAAAGGAGAGTTCAAGATATGCAAATGGTAAATAATGGAAATGGATTGAAACATAATGAAAATTGAGCGATGACATGATCTGGACGGTGAGAGCACCAACAGCCTCAACGAAAACCAAACACCACGAGCCAACCAGCATCCTGTAATGCTTGCTGTGGCCTGTGGATTCGTCAATTGCCATCGGGAATTTGAAAACAAGCTAACAGTACCAGAATCTTTTAAAACAAACCTGTCAAAACCTATCATTTCCTTCAGTTGTTTTCCTTTCTTATGCCCCTGATAGATTAATCAATCTGCGTTTTTGTTTTTTTAATACTCCCTTCCTCCTGGTGGTATTATAAGCAAACTCGAGTAATGATTTTAATTTTTTAACATATTAGCAAATTTTGATTAATTTATATAATTTAAAAAATTAGTTAATTCTAACAATTATGTTTAATTTAAAAATTTTACAATAAAATGCTCTTATAATTAATTTTATTTTTTCTAGATTAATAATAAAACGACCACCCCCCCCCCTAAGTACCATTGTTCCTTTAATAAAAAGGCAATGTTGTATGGGGGAAAAATCCACCCCTCTAACGTTCCCCTCTTAGCTTAGGCAGTATATGCGGGGCTACACGACCTTGTAGAAGACCCGCGCCGTATGCCCGCTGTCCTTTTTAGGTGTTACGTTTAGACACCGGTAATAATTTTTGTTCCCATCTCAATATCATTCATCCATTACAATACAGAAAAAAGAATAATCTCAATCAGGCTTAGGGTGGTTGTGCCATTTGGTATCAAAAAGAAAAAAGAAAAAAGAAAAAATTCTGCTTCAATATTTATTAGCTTATCGAAGAAAAAATATTCGATGGTTAAACGCAACTCTTTCACCGATCACGTATTCGCTCACAAAGGTATATATCCTCATGTGTTCGTCCGTTGCAATTTAAGTATTCAACATAACCATATTTTCGGCGTCAACGTTAAAAGCTCATTAATATAGTTCAGATGCTTCGTCAATCATCTTCATCTTACATGCGGCTTATGAAGTTTGAAGTCTCTCTTCCTCGCTCTCCCTATCTTTCTTAATTCCCCCATATGATACACTTCTATTCATGGAAATTGTCTGCCAATGCTTTTCTTGGTACTAGTATCATTAGAGCTGTTCTGGACATAAATTTATCCTTCTTAAATAGTTGGCTCGAATGCTTTTATGTCTGGATAATTGCTTCGTTTTCACTGGCGACATTGAACACACATTTTTAAACGGCGCTAGCTGGCAGTAAAAATATATTGTGCGCGATATTTATCACATTATAGTACATTAGTTTATTAACCAAGTAAATAAAACAGTCATTTTATTTAGTCGAATCGCGGGGATTTCTTTCTTTCTTTCTTTTTTTTTTGGTGATTACGTGCATTTTAACTTCCTCGTGAAAATAGTTTGTCAATTTTCTCCGAGCCCATGGTCCGTATGACTTCCGCCTGTGGAGAAGAGAGTCGGTAGAGTACGTGGTTTCCTGAAAGTTCCAAGCCAAGGAGCAAACTAGTGGTCGTCCGGAAAGAAAGAAGCCACTAACTACTAACCGCTAACAACCATAATTAATTTAATTTCAAGAGATGCTTTTATTTTCTTGCATTAATTTCAAGACATGCTAATATCGCTCTTGAAAGAAACGTACATCAACAATTAAATACCTTGAATATTATTTCTTCCATATCAAATTATAAGACATTATTCAGCATCCTAAAATATAAGATATTTAAAAAAAATTTATTAATAATATTTTTACAATATTACAATCTTCTTATATATTTTTTCTCTTTAATATTTTTTATATATAGAGTATTAAATGAAAGATATTTTTAAAAATTTATATTTTTATCTTAAAAAATTAAAGTTACAAAGTGTATTTAATAAATTTTATTGATATGTCTAATTTTATTTAAAAATGTCTTGTAATTTGAGACAAAAGTAACACTGCATTACCAAGTAATTAAGTCTATGTATTCTATCTATTCTATAGCTAGTAGTGTTTGTTTGGATTGATGTTTGTAAAACTGAAGCTAGGTCTCCGCGCATTACAGCCTACCACTTGAACTTGAGGTCGGATTTACTTATGGATAGTTTCTTTAAATATATTTTTTTTACATTAATTGAAATTTTATGTATGAGCAACCATAATTTTTTTTTACTAAATCAACCTCGATTGATAAATATTCTTGGTAATTTTTACTTCTATTCACTTCTTCTCCCGTGTCATTAGCATCGCGGATTATCACCACCTTCGATGGTACGTACATATCAATATATAGAGAGAGCAAATCAAAATAAAATTATTGAAAAACTCATAGCATCGTCATCACGAAAATTTCACACCAGTACACACAAGTCTGTAATCTCAACCAGAATTGCAACATGAACATGCGGACAAAAAAGACAATAACATGATATGAATACAGATAAAATTCAATAACAATTGAGAACACAAAAAGTCACATGGCATGTGACTGAGCAATCGCATATTTATTATATATAAAACGTATATATATCATGTTTTCCCAATCAAGTCCTCTTTCTCTGGTATTATTTATAAGATACTTTTTAAAAAATCTATTTAATGTTATTTATTAGTAACAGTATGATTTTTTAAATAATATTTAAAAGGTATTTCTAAAATTATCTTTTATGAAAGGAAAACAAATAATATGATATTATTTTTTAGATTTATTTATATAAGGATATATTTAAGATTTTATATACTTTTATTTCTTTTATTTTTTACATTAATATTGATGAGGTTGTTATAAATAACTTATAAAGAGAATGGGGGAAAAGTATATTACTGGTGATGTGATAACTTAATTAGTTGCCTTGTGATTTTTTTTTTTTTAGGGATAAACTAGTTGCCTTGTGATTTTAATGTAACATTTTTTTTTTTGGCTGGCTCCTAAGTCCAGCGCATCATCGTCACAAGAAAAAGAGTACAGTTATTTTGTGGAAAATAAAATTAAGAGCTGGACCCCGTGTTGATGTAAAGAAAAACCAAACCTGAAAGTGAAGTGCAATCTCTATCTCTATCCTTTTTCCCTGCATCTATTCGCACTACGACCCCTGCGTTGGTTTATAAATAGCAAGAAGCCTCCCCTTCTCATTCATACACAGAAACAGTCTCGTCCTCTTTTCGCTATGGGTTCACTTGGCAACATCAAAAACATGCCTCTGAGGTCCAGGATCTCAACGGTGGTCCCGGCGACGCCTTGGAGCGATCAAAACAGTGCGTACGAACTCCAGAACATGGATTTACTCTTGAAACTTCACTACATCAGATCAGCTTATTTCTTCAGCAACGATGCCGTCCAAGGTTTCTCTAACTACGACTTGAAGAAGGCCATGTTTCATCTGCTTGACACGTACTCTCATGTCTCGGGCCGGATCAGGAGATCCGATTCCGGAAGGCCGTTCATCAAGTGCAACGACGCCGGCGTACGGGTCGCGGAGTCGTATTGTGACAAAACCCTCGCCGAATGGATCGCCGACGCCGGATACTCCATAGACGGCCTCGTTCAAGACCACGTCCTTGGCCCTGATCTTGGCTTCTCTCCTCTTGTTTTCATCCAGGTACTTTATACATCTTTTCTTGATTTTATATCTGGACAATATTATTTTTTTCATGCTTGAATATAAAACTATTCATTTATCAGTGCCCAGAATTTGCCATTGAATTTCGTGCTTGTTATTGTCCTTTGATTCATTTTTTGTTTGAAAGCAAATTCGGTGTATATGATGTGATGCCCATGTTGATTTGTGGTTTTGGGTTATTGATTTTTCGCTGCTTCCTTTAATTTGATTGATTAGTTATTTATGTGTGTTCAAGACTTCAAATCCCCTTTCTTTCTGTACTTGGGTAAAAATTAATGCCTCATTTGTTATCTTAAAAATGTTTTTAATAAAAATAAAAATAGATATAGAAATGAAAATAAAAGTAAAAGTGAGTTTTAAAAATATATTTAGTATGTACATGAAATTATAATATATTTTTTATTTAATATATGCATTTATATAATCAATATGTTGAAATACCCCTGTCAATTTTTTTAATTATAATATACTTTTTATTTAATATATGCATTTATATAATTAATTTATTAAAATACCCCTATCTAATTTTTTAATTATGATATACTTTTTTGTTTAATATGTGCATCTATATAATCAATTTATTAAAATACCCTTGCCAATTTTTTTAATTATGATATATTTTTATTTAATATATGCACTTATATAATTAATTTACTAAAATACCTCTATCTATTTTTTTAAATTATGATATACTTTTTTATTTAATATATGCATCTATATAATTAATTTACTAAAATACTACTGTCAATTTTTTTTAATTATGATATATTTTTTATTTAATATATGCATATTTACTAAAAAACTTTTGATTTACTTCAATGATTGATGAAGGGGCAAATCTGTCAAACAATTTTATAATTGAGGTTATTTTTGTCTAAAAAAATTTACTTTTATAGAACCCATCTCATTTTTATAGGTTTTATTATGAAATTTAATTCAATCTATTTTGATGGATTTCATTTTAATATGGAAATTCATTTCATGTATATCAAACAAAAAAAAATGTGAATTGTAATTTTATTTTTATTTTTATGTCTCCATTTCCAACATATTAAACAGAGCATAATATACAAGTTATTGGTAAAGAACTGATTTTACACACGGAAGAAAAAATTGAACTACGAGATGACTTACATCCTCAAAGTTAATTTATTGTTTGCTCATAGTATTTTATTAAACTTTTTAATATATATTTATATAATAATTAAGAACATGTAATATGAAAACTGCCATATAAAATACTTGTATTTAAAACTTATACTTGGAACGGTTTAAAAATTATGAGCTTTACAAATCTCAACCTAACAATTTATGCATTTTTTATCTGTATTGATGGGGAAAAACTGATTAAGATGCCATTGTCTATCTTATGAATAAATCGACGACAAAGGATTGACGGGGACATGTTTATAACATGCCGCACTTTGTTGGCAGAGTTCATGGTCACCAATAACCTTCTTTTTTTTTAATCAACAATACAACTTTTCATATGGCTTCTCAATAGTAATAGTAAATGATACTTCATTCCTTTAAAAATATAAAATATTTTTTGAGGAGTTAGATATTAAAAAACATAAGGTATTTTTAGTCTTTTAAAATATAATTATTACCTTTTTTTTCAAAAGTACCCCTATTGATAATGACTTTATATTTATTATAGTATGTTTAATATGAATAAATATAAAAAAATAAAATTAATTTGAAAGTAGGTAATTACTTTATTAAGGGCGAGATTCACTTAAAAATATCTTACATTTTTTAATAAAGGAAATAGAAAGAGTTTTTTCTTATGAATCATGGTAAAAAACGTACTCCATTTAATTTACTGAACAAAGTTTTAAAATTTTATTTGATTCTAAATTTAACATAAAATGTAGTAATTTATATTTTTTTTTAATGATATCCTTATTTAATTGCATCAAGTTATAATTCGTATATAATTTTATTGTGATCATTAACTTTAGAAAAAGAAAGAATTAAAAAAATAATTTTTTTTTATAAATTCAAGAATATTAACTTCCCTTCATTAAGAAAACTGAAATTACTTAATTTTTTCCTACTTCAAGCATTTCTCATCAATTAATTTTAATTTAAAATATAACTAACCTATTTTACCTTTTGTATTTATTAACATAAATATTTATATAAATATATTTCTCACTCATCATAAAGTGCATTAATAATTAAAATTAAGAATAAAAAATATATATTTTTATGAAACTAAAAAATTTATTAATATGTAAATTTTTTTACAAAAGCTATTTATATTTTGGAGTGGGATGGCATTACAAGAAAGAGTAATACCTTTTTACTTTTTGTGACAGTGTAATTAGCAAACTACCAAACTGGGACGAAAGGAAACTAATATTAAAAGCTGGATTTTAAATACCCAAAATGTCCTTCAGAAACACTAGGATTTAAGACGGTGGTCTTTAATTTGGAGTTTGGAACTACTGCCTGTCTCCTCTCCATACTTTTTAACTGACGCCCCATAATTATAAATTATAAATAGTCAATATAGCCGTTATTTGGTGCCGAGGAATTTCAAAGGTGAAATTGATGGAACAGGAATGCCCATACTCAGTGTATCCTATTAAGTATTTATACCTCGCGACGCAGAGCCAGATATGTATATTTGCATACGTTAATACTGGTGAATTATACGATGAAGTAAACTGCTTCATCATAATTTGGTATGTAAATAAAAAACTGAGTTAACGTTTTGGTACTACTTTTGTGATATATGTAATCAGTTTACAAGGTTTCAATGTGGAGGGTTGACCGTGGGCCTCAGCTGGCCTCACGTTCTCGGAGACGCTTTCTCTGCTCTCAACTTCATCGCCCTTTGGAGTAAGATAATGGCGGGTCACGTGCCTCCTAAGGCTCTTCAGGTGTCCACTCACACCAAACCGGAGCTTCCTCCTTCAGTCTCCGATAAGCCGATATCTGCGAAAAGGTCCGTCGATGTCGGGGAACGATGGCTAGTTGCAGATCACAGAAACGTGAAAAACCACTCTTTCCGCCTCACGTCGAAGCAACTTAACCATTTGGGAGCAACAATAACTACTACTGCTCCTGCTTCGTATTTTGAAATTCTCTCCGCTATAGTTTGGAAATCCCTTTGTCAGATAAGGGAGGATGCTTCTGGGATAAATACTGTGACGATCTGTACGAATGGATCTATGCGAAAAGAAGGTGATTTCCCGATCAATGGCTTGGTGTTCAGTAAAGTGGAGGCTGATTTTGCAGTGGAGAAATCGGACGTGTCAGAATTGGCGAAGCTGATTGGTGAGAAGAAGGCGGTGGAGAATAATATCTTGGAAAAGACGGTGGAAGAAGACGAAGGAAAAGGGGATTTCGTGGTTTATGGAGCAAGCTTAACATTTGTTGATTTGGAAGGAGCTGAGTTTTATGAGGTGAAACTGAATGGTCGAAAACCTATTCTGGCGAACTGTGCTTTTCAAGGAGTGGGTGATGAAGGTGTCGTCTTAGTTCTTCCGGCACCGGAGGGAGATGATAATGTTGAAGATGGAGGCGGCAACGGAAGAATCATCACCGTGGCTCTTCCTCCCAGTGAACTTGAACAACTCAAAACTAAGATGGAAACAGATTGGGGTATTGTTTAAGAATACCGTTGAAATACTGACAGTGATTTAAGAATATCATGAGTTATAATGTTTTATTTAATTATATTTTCACTAAGTTAGTGATAATGATCATTCGAGTTGTGCTTTGGGAATAATGAATCCATTACTCATTTAACGAGATTATCATGTAATGAATGTAATGTATTCATTGTCCCCTGTGATTAACCCATTGCTTCACTAATTTATTGAAACTAATAAAACTGAACAAGTATACGTAGCAATTTATAAGTTTGCTGGGATAAAAATATGATCACTTGGAAGGAAGATTCAGTTGAAAGAATGCTTCATTGCCATGTCCATCACGAAGACGCGCGCGTACAACGGGCTCCCAGTCGTGGCTTTGAAATTGTATGAACTATGAACTGGTTCCAGTATTTGGTTGCAAATCGTACGTGAGTTTAGGCTGGTTTGTAATACTTTGGTTTTGGACATTTCATAGTACTAGACGTTGGGGGCACATGCATGTTAGGCAGTTTGGTTTGTTTGTAGATTTATATAAAGAGTTGAAAAACGTGCGACTTAGCTCTTATAAGCCTAACTCTTAAGGGCTCAAGCGCTTAAACTCAATTTTTTTAAAATGTCTCATTTTTTAAACTCCGGCCATTATATAAAAGACTCAAGGTCAGACCCGTAAGCCCTTACTATTATTTTTTTTATTTTTTGAAAGTTTTTAAAAATTAAAATTTTTAATTATAATATTTCATATATTTTTTAAAAATAAAATTATAATGTTTAACAATTAAAAATAAATAATAGAAATTTTAATTTTAAAGTATAAACATATATTCTAAAGTTTAAATTCAGTTTAAAAATAAAAAAATATTTTGTCTTTTAAGAAAAAAAATTAAAGTGGGCCTAAAAGGGCCATCCAAGCTTAAGCCTGTTTTTTCAAGATTTATCAGGGCTAGGTTTGAAAGCCCAATTTTTTTAAAAAATATCATTTTTTAAGCCCAAACTCTTATAAAAATAAGTTTAAACGGGCGACCCTTCAGGCTTGACCTTTATTTCTGACTTTATTTATACAACCTGTCTTGCTTCTAATTGTGGTTGTTGAGTTATGATTCTTAAGCAATGCCCTATGCGAGAAATATTTAAGTAGATTGGGTGTGTTATATTATTTGTGATGTGTTCAATAAAAATATGACATTTTGATAATATTAAATATAAATTAATTGTGATATTAATGGTAATAGAGAGAGAGAAGGTAAGAAATTAAATGTACATTGATCTGTTATAAAAATAAAATTAATTAAAAATATCACACAAGATTTTATTTAGATTACTTGTATCATTTTAATTGGACAAATCACAAATGATGTGATGCATCCAGTCTACATAAATACTTCTCTGCTCCATGCAAGAAATTTTTAGGTAGATCGGATGTACCATGTCATTTGTAATATTTTCAATGAAAACATGACATTTAAATGATATTAAATATAAATTAATTTTAATATTAATGGTAGTAGAGAGAGAGAAGAGGCAAGAAATTACATTTATATTTTGTTATAAGAATAAAATCAACTAAAAAATATCACACAAGATTTTATTTAAATTATTTAGAGCATTTTAATTGGACAGACCACAAATGTTGTGATGCATTCGATCTATTTAAATATTTGTCTGATCTATACACTTTATCTAATTAAATCTTGTCCGCATGTAACTACTGCAATTTTTGTTTATAATAGAAGTTACCATGTGCACATATACATAAGAATAAATTTCTTAAGAGTTAAATTCGATTGGTTTGCCTTGATCTTAAATATAAGATATCATTAGTCTTTTTTATTTCCTGATTTTATATCTTTCCCCTTACCATCTCCATTAATTGTACATAACACCTGTTAATTTGACATATGTCCAAAACTAGTTAGCATTTTGTTGCTTATTAGACCACAACTATGAAATGGTAAGCTTGAGTTAAATTGGAAATCATGAAGATTGGCTTGTGAAAGCTGGCCATGATATGATCTCTTTATGAAATGATGATCAACAATCCTCCTTCTCATTACAAAAGACCTTCACGCCATATTGCGATTTGACCTGATTAGGGACGTGCCACTGCAATACCTAGGGATGTTCTGTTTTTCATCCGAAGCTCTATCTTCATGTATTCAAATAAAACCCATAAATGATGTTGCTTAAGTTATAGAATAATCATCATTTTTGCTTTTTAATTTTATCTAAAAAATTATTTGGTGCTCGAAATTCAATTGTGAATCCGTTCGCTCAATATTAATAATTTTCTCTCTCATCGCCCTATTGTTTTATTACCATCTTTTTCACCTTTACTATGCTTCACATTACATTTTTAAGTATTTTTTATTATAAAATATTTGAATTGAAGGTGCTTGCTAGCCCTTCAAATAAAAATTAAAGGGCAAAAATAACCATTAATTCAATAAAAAATATTAAAAATGGTAGGGCCCATTGACAACAAACAAATATTAGATGTTTTTAATGTTAAAAAATCTTTAAGTTAGAAGATATAATTGATTTATAGTTGAGTTTAAAGTACTTAATAACTTTTTGAATAAAATTGAGGGACAAAATAACCTTTGATCTAAGTTATATACACATAAATTATAAGGTTAAAAAAAAAGCAGCGAAAAAAATTAATAATGACAAATCAAAATATTTTAATGCATACAAACAGCTAGCCAGGTAAAATTGTTGATATGGTGTGTTATTTAATTAATTATTAAACATTATTAAAAATATGGAAAGCATATTCAATTTTTCTTTTGGCACATGCACTAGATATCTAGATTCCTTTGGCTTCGTTGATCTTGATCAAGTTGAACAACAAACATAGCAAACTATGCAAATAAATATTTAATTTAACTAGTAAAGTACCCGTGTAATGCATGGGCCATATATAATAGTTTTTTTTAATAAGTGACATATCTATCATTTGTGACAAATTTTTACAATAAAATATTTTATAGACACATTCTTCATATTGTTTTGTATGTAGTAAGGATGTTTAGCTATCATTAGTAATAGGTCTACTTGTTTATAATTTAAAAGTAAGTATTTTTTAGATATTTTAGCAATTTTATAAATGTATATACATATATATGTTGTAGGAATCTTATAAAAAATAGACATTATTTTATTTTTGGTTATGATAATAAAAATAATAATTTTTAATTTATTATTTTTAAATTTTATTATATCCTCCTTGATTTCTATTTTATAAAAATAATTTATTATCTAATTATTTTAAAATTTTATGATATCTTTGCATTTTTTCTATTTTTAAAACATTCTCTTCCATGTATTACATTATATTATTTTTAGAAGTTATTCAAAGTAGCTTCTAAAAATAATTAAAAATATTTTTTCAAATTTTAATTCTTTTAAAAATTTTAAATAAACATAGTAAAAACTAAAAAATAATTTTTTTCCAAAAAATAAGTAATTTTTCCTAAAATAAGCTAAAACAGAGAGGCTCATTATATTAATCATGCATAAGTGGAGTATAACAAAATGATAAAAATCTATATTATAAATAGATACAATGTGAAGTAAGTTAAGAAAAATTCTTTTTTTTTTGGTTGAATTATCAAAGACTTCACTATAAATGATGTTTGAAATTCTCGTGGTGGTAAGTGATTATATATCCTTATCAAGAATTAATATTTTTAAATATTTCATACTTTGAATGCAAGAGACAACACTATATAATTAGTTGTGAGTGAAAACATGACAAAGCTGCAGGTACAATTTAATATGACACAAGCTTTGACCCTAATTTTATTAATGGTCATAAAAAATGTAACATAATAAAAAACTACCTTCTCATGATAAATGACAACCTGAAATCAAACGAACATATAACAATATGCTATACATATTTCCATCCCTTCACTTGATCTAAATATTTCTCGGGCCACAAAAATATGCTTTTCAATTTGGGTAATTATTAGATCCATGACATTGCACAACTCCACAAAACTTATCAGTTCTTTATATTAAAATAATTAGAACAACCATTTTGAGCTTTATTTCATGATTCAAAAGGCTAGACATTGAAATTGAATATAGAAAATCTATAAAGTAAAGGTCTTCAAGTGAATTCATATTTACATCATCCTTCACAATACTATTAGAGCTTAAATATACAACTTTCTTGTCAGGGAAGATGAACAACACATATCTATTTACTTCTTCAACCATAATCAATGCATGTGAGAACTAATATAATTTTATCCCTAAAATATAAATAATTATTTGAAAAATCCAACAAGAAATTAATTGGGATCTCAATAAACACCCTCAAGCCCATTTAACTTTGGATGTGTTAATAGGTAATTGGGCTTAAATTGACCATCTCTAATGGACTCAAATGAAATGTCAGCCTGTTTAAGCCCATACATATGTATATATGTATGTATGTATATTTCATTAATATTTAATAAATAAAGAGAGAGAAGATTGGATTTAAAAAAAGAGTAGAAGTGTTGGAAAAATGAAAAATAACTCTAGCCTAAATGAAAATGAAAATTTTGATATTTTTACTACTAAAAAGCCAACTCATAATAAGTATAATTAAATATCGTTGATATTGAAGATGATAGTGACAAAGATGATAATGTTCATCATGATGTTGCTACTAGTGTTTAGATATTATTGTTTTATTGATATTTAGAAAAGACTTATTTGGTTTTGTTTTAAAAATTTGAACAATGATTTAATATTTTTAATTGGTTAATATATAATTAGTTATGGTTTGATTTGTTTTATTTTCAAATATCTATTTAAAAATTTAAAAACAATTAAAAGGGTCCAAAGCTTTCAAGGCCAGCATTGAGTCCACAAGTTCAATGGCCGAGCTTCATAGATGATATAGCTTGAGCCTGTCAATAGCCATTCCTAAAAGTCACATCATTAATTGAGATATTATAGTTAGCGAAATTCTGAAGAGTATTGATAAATGCTCCTACATTTGTTGCTAAGAACCTCATGTTTTTGGTTAAAAATGACAATTATCTCAAATATATTAGGAGTTAATAGTGGCAAAAATAATGTCCTCTTTAAAATCATCTAGAATAACATGAAGGATTTCCTAAAGTTTCCATCAAATATAGCTACTTCAGAAATATTCACAAC